TAGGGTTTAGGGATTATAGGGTTTAGACTTTGTACACTTCTCGATTTGTTCGTGTCATCCTTGCGCAGGGGCCATGCTAATCTTCGCTGTATCGTTCCAATTTTATCGGATGATCCCCGAAGGATTGGTTTAGGGTTTAGGGCTTAGGGGTTTAGGATTTAGGGCTTTAGGGGTTCAGGGGTTTAAGGGTTTAGGGGCTTAGGGACTTGCCTTTGATTCTACCATCTGTGTTCCCTTATGCATTCCTATAAACCCTCAGTTTCCATTTCATCTTCCATTTCACGCTCCATTTGATGTTCCATGTTGTTTCGCTTCCTTGGGAATCCGGCACTCCACTAAACTCTTTTTGCACAAACCTTGAACCCAAAACCTTAAACCCAAAACCTTAAACCCAAAACCTTAAACCCAAAACCCAAAACCTTAAACCCAAAACCTTAAACCCAAAACATAACTTAAAGCTGCATGGCTCAGTGGCGTACGGGCACACAAACGTGGCTCGCGTTCGACGGCAACGCCAAAGGCATCTGTGGATCCTCATCTTGGCTTGATGCAATGCGAGTTCTATTGGATACCTTTTAGGGGATATAGGGTTCTATAGGGATGTATAGGGCTCAGGGTTTCCCAAATTGTTGGGTACCTTTTTGGGAATCCTTATACTAAAGACTATAATACATTGGGTCCATGTTGGGGCCTCCTGATTTTGGGAAACTACCAAATGTGCAAACACCTCTGAGCAGCAGGCGCGCATACTCGTAGAGTGGGTCATCAATACTTGGCCAGATGCTTCGCAAGATAGAAATCAGCGCGCACGCAAGCTTCACACCATTGATTCTTGCCCTAAACCCTAAACCCTAAACCCCTAAGCCCCAAACCCTAAACGCCTAAGCCCTGAACCCCCAGACCCTAAACCCTAAACCCTAAGCGCTCTCTTTGATCTGAGGTGAAAACTGGCCATCATGGGCACCCACATTGATGTATCGCCTAACGCATGCCATCACTTGAGTAGTGTTCTTTTTGGTGGTTGAACCTAGTAAGATAACAGTCTTTATATAAAATACTATACCCAAAAGGAGGATATAATCTTACTCTATATTGAGTACCATAATATCCCCAAATAAAATACTACTCACTTAGGGCTTCTGGGTTGCAATTCCATTCCTCCCAGGTCTGCCCTCCCCAGATGTAGAAGCCCACTGGGCCTTACCAAGCCCTACAGAGTTGCGCTCTATGCCATCCTTAGTAGCTCCTTTAGGCATGGTAAGACAATCCCTTATTACCATATAACCCTTATATAGTCAATATATAACCTCTACATCCCAAGGTAGTCCCCATATTAACCCCCATAAGCTACAAGGGTCCCTATTAGGGGTCCTTGATCCAAGCATGCAGTTATGAAACCTTGCTCCGACTGCCGGGCCTGGTTAAAGAGAAGCCAGCTTCCACGATCTTCTGCACGGTTGGCCAAATATTTTGTGTGTCCACCTTAGGTTGGGCCCCCACCCACTAACAGTGACCACAAGAAGTAATGGTAANNTAATTATATTAGGGTCCTTATATATCCCTAGTATACCACTATTAGTGGGTGGGGCCCACCCAATGTCCACCTCAGGATGCTGGAGGGTCTGGCCAGCTGGTCTTGTCCCAAAATAGGGGGACCCCCAAGATAGACCCAACAGACTATAATCCTGATTCTTGGGACCCCCGAAAGGGTACCCCTGATTTTGGCAAACCCTCAGTTACCTTCTCAAAAGAATCAATGGCTGGAAGTCCTCTTGGCAGTGGATTCGAGAGTAATATAGCATTTGGGCTTCGGCCAGAAGCTCGTTGCAAGCGAACTCCCCGATGTGGTGCCGCCGCCGGTGTCTGGAAACGACTTCCTCACACTCACCCTTTGCGGACATCTTTACATCGCAATTTCCGGGGTCGGCCCTTGAAATCCAACAAACACGATTCAAATCGCATGAAGAGGAATTACCCAAAGAGGAGGTTTCATCAAATGAGGAAGTGTACAACGCTATCCTGCTCCGTTCCTTCCTCAGACTTATGCAAAACATAAGACCATTTCAGACCCAACAGGGATTGACAGAACATGGAAACTTAGCTGTCAAAGGCCTGGTACTCGTCCACATGTGCCAGGAAGTCCTGGAAGGCTGCAAGATCTGACGGAGACGCTATAAGACATGCACTTCGCCTGCTACACGTGTGTGTACAGAAAAATTGTCCGTAATTTGACCAATAAAGCTATAATAGCAATAACAATAACGGTAATGACACTAATTGTAGTAATAGCAAGAAAAGATAAAAGCAGTACGAACCATAATGACGCCATCGCTTGCGGAGGAACAACCACACAAGCCAAAGATCGAAGCTCTCTTTCTTGGCTGCGCTGCACATCCTTAACGAGGCTCTGTAAGAGCATGCCCTAGTGGCGTTGCTAATCACCGCTTTGTTCTAACAGGGTTCGCTTGACGAAGCCCGAAGTGCAGCTCGGCCAAGCACCGAGCCCACAGCAAAATGTGGTTTCTGAGCGCACTGAAGCTGGGTTTGTGATAAAAGCTCTGTGACGGCATGCTTCGGCAAGCGCGGAAACGATTGAAAGCGCCTCTCCTTCGAGAGTTTCAGCTTCCTTTCCTCAAGATAGGAAGCAGGCAAGCCCTAGCCTGAAAAGCCTTGTACAACATGACCTACACAAAGACTGGGTTGCTGTTAAGGAACTTAATTTAAGTTGCTATATTGGGGAAACCCTATAAATTACTATATATATATATACCCATTATGGTAACTTAATTCAAGTTCCTTAACAGCAACCCAGAAGAACTTCCACACCGTTGAAGACTTATCCGATGGCTTCAGGCCAGGGCTTGTGGGCAATTTACTATGGGGATAATGGAAAACAAAATGGAAAGTACTATGGTATATTGGGGTTATATTGGGATTAGTATATTGGGGTTATACCGGGATTGTTAAATATAGGAATAATGGAAAAGAAAATGGAAAATACTATAGTATCTTGGGGTTAGCGCATATTGCGCAAGCGTCTTTTCGACTCTACGGCATGCCGTTGACCGCTCGTGCTCTCAAGCCTTCTGAGACCGAGCTTGGATTGAAGGCCGAAAGCCTCGGTTTGAGCGATGGGTTATATAGGGGATTGTGTGGGGGACTACTATGGGGTTATGAAGGGGGATACTGGGAGATACTGGGAGTTTAGACTAAGCCTTTTAGATATATATATATATACATATACATACATATATATATAGTCTCAAAGGGGCTGGCATCTAGCGAGGCTGGAAGAAACTTCGTCCAATGAGTCCAATGATTCAATGATGCAATTAGCAACCTGCTGTCCAGCGACTGCCTTTGGCGCTCCGACGGAGGATCATGGTCATTGCCCGGAGGCTTATACTCTGGCCTGCCGCCAAACAGAGGGCTTCGGCCAGCGCAGGCTGCTTGACATCTGCTTGCTCTGTAACGCAGCAAAATGTGGGTTGTTCTGAAAAATTAGGGCCCCTTTTGGTTGTAGATTATATTGGCGCACCTAGCTTTTAGGAGTACCAAAATGGGACCATAATTGTGGCGACTACTCATGTGGCAAACGCACCTGGCCTCTTCACTCGGAAGCAACCTCCCTTGAGCTTGCCACCGAGCAACCACCAAGACTGGAGCCCTCCCAGCCTTAGGAGCCAAGCGCAAGAAAAGCTAATCTATCCAACTCCAGATGGCCCAGAGCATGTTACAAAGCACAAGGGTTGGTCGGTTTAGGGTAGGAATATTGGACGGGAATTCTACAACTCACCCACTTTGAATGTCACGCTCTCCACTCCCTTCCTGCGCACTCTCCCATAGAGGCCGCTTGGCAGCGGCCATGCTCTTTTGGAGGGTTTCCAAAAATTAGGGGCGCCAATTTGGCCATTTGAGGGTCCCCATAGCAAGGATTGTACTGTAGCATGTTGGGGTGTAGATTGGGGTCCCCCCTGTTTGCGGGAATTACCACGCGTGATTCAATGGATAAAAACAGCACGGATCAGGCAACTAACAGGTTAAGAAGTTGAAACAAAGACAACGACGACAACGACGACGACGACGACAACCGCAACCGTTATCATAGAAATACAAATAAGAAGAGCAAGAAGAAAAGTACTACTCATAATACAAGTTAGACAAGACCACAGTAAAAAGCTCTAAAAAAGGCACAGATCAGGTTGTCGAATAATTCCCTGGAAATCTGACTCCTTCAGCTTAGCTTTGGACTAACGCACGCCTGGCACTAATGATAGTAATAGTAGTCATATTAAAAAATACTAACAAAAAAAGAAAAATAATCGCAATGATGATAATAAAGGCACTAGAAGTCTAATAGTAACAATAACAATAATAATGGTAATAATGGTATTACTGGTAGTACTGCTGTAATAGTATCCAAAAAAAGTAATGATGGTTATTATGGGCTGCACGCTTTGGGACAAGTGTCATCTCAATGATCGCCACGAAGAGCTGCGTGATCAAGTTTACAACCAGAAGCATGATCGACACATAGAGGTGCCACTGGTACGACATGAAATTCCTGGGTTGCTGTGAAGGAACTTAAATCAAGTTGCCATAATGAGTATATGTGTATATATATATACTGTTGATACTAAAAATCCTGCATGACCTTAATATACAATGGTACCATAATTCCCAAGGTATAAGGTAACTAAGGTCATGCAGGATTTTTAGTATCCACCGTAGTACTTAAGATGGTTCCCCCATATGGTAACTTAAATTGTTCTTTAGCAGCAACCCAGATTCAGGTAGAAGTATTCCACGAGCGCATCCTGAGGCTGCAGGAGAAGGGATGGGATAGCTTCAGGGCCCTATGACTCTATGAAAACATGGGGGTTTCCCATAATTAGGGGTACCATTTTGGGGGTCCCCATAATAAGGAGTATAACATATTGGGGTCTATAGTGGGTCCCCCTATTCTGGGAAACTACCACATTTTTTAAGGCTTTAAAGAGCCTATAGGGGAACTCTTGTCCATGATGTATTCCCAGAATACCCCAGAACCTGTTTCAAGTTCCCTGAAATAATCAGTTTTGCGAAAAGCCAGGAAAGTCAGGACCAGCATCATACACTTCGACCTTTCGAGCTGCATCTTTCTTCCTCGGCATACGCACTTGCTACACTCAGGCCCGTCAATTCTCGTGGCTACCTCCTCTTCAACAAGACGTAGCTGCCAAACGGAACCACACTCAGGCTTCATGAGCCAACTATGACCACGGGGATGAAGTGGGATTATATGGAGGTTATGAAGGAGTATTGGGATTATCTTGGGCTTACATCGCTTCATGCAGTCCCTAAATCCTGAAGCCCTAAACCCTCCTAAACGCTAACCTCTACAGCCTAACCCCTAAACCCTCCTAAACGCTAACCCCTACAGCCTAACCCTAAACCAAGTCTCAGCGCCAATTCGCCTGGAGTGGTCTCAGGCATGGAGGCGCAATTTGGATCCGGACGCAGCACAGCCCAGGCCAACAGCAGCAGCAACTGCGGTTTAGGGTTTAGGGTGAAGTATGCAGACATAGGGATAAGAATAATGCTAGTAGTAGCGAAAAAGAAAACAGCAATAGTGGTAAAAGTAGTCATAGTAATGGTAATAGTAGAAGTAGTAGTAATAGTGAGAGTAATAGTACTAAAACTACAAATATTCATAATAATGATTATCAGCGCAATAATAATAGCAGTGATAGTAGTGCTGGGAATTTCAGTGCGTGATAATGGGAATGGCTGTTCAAGACTCTGATAGGTGCAGTCCCGCCTTTTCAACGACTGCCAAGCCCTGAAACGTTAGAATGAAGGCCACGAGCAATGTCCCGTATTGTCCTGAAACCGGCGAAGCCACCAAGCAGAAATGGTCGTTTCCAAAAATAATTGGAGACCCAAATGTAGACCGCAAAAGAAAATATATAATCCTTGTTGTACCCCTATTGTTGGATGCATCTGGCCAAGAGAAGCCCCAAAACCCTACACTAATCCGCGTCCTCCTAGGGACTGGCTGTTCAGCACCACAGGCACAGAACATATCCAAAACACGCCGGACACCATCCTTGATTGCAAAGGGACTTCAAAGTCAAAGCATGATAGCATGAGTGTAGTACTGGTAGTAAGAACAGGAATATTATTAGTAAGATTAGTAATCAGAACAAAAATCATCATGCCAATAGCAATAATAGGAAGGGTTATAGAAAAAATCAGCTTTTGCACCACCAGCTTCTAGATGCAGCCCAGCATCATGAGAATTGTTGGCTTGCCAAAGACACGCCACAAGGCCAGAATAAAGTAGTTCACTAAAATCAACAACACGACTGAACGAATCTGGTCAACCATGGTGCCAAAGACAACCTGTGCAGCCCAAACAAGGAAGCTCAAAACAAGCAGTGCGGGCTCACAGCAGATCAGCACACATTCGCTGAAACTATATTCTATTCGGTTATATAATACCATATATTATGCTATATTCTACTATATAAGATTATCTTACTGAGCCCTGCACTGCAAGCATGACGACAAAGAAATAAAGCGCCACCAATAGCTCCATCATGCGCGCATATACTGGAGCTCGCTTGTGCTTCAGCTTGTCAAACAACCAAACCTGGGCTCATAGTCCCGCTTAAGTAGATAGAATATCGCTTTGCGTATATTGCAATAAGATCCCCATATACCCCTATTCTATACCCTATATAACCCATTATAGTAATCTCCATTTTCTTTCCCACTATCCCTGTATAAGCCCAATATAACACTAATGTTACCCCATATTCTATCTACTTAAGGGACTGTACAACTTGCAAGGTGTTCCTCTGTGATACAAGCTACATGCCCAACTCTTGCAGCTGCAGCTAAGGCCCCTAAGCCCTCTTCTAAGTTACAAGAGCCAATAAAAAAAATCTGCTGTGGATTCTACTGTAGTTATACTGTATTCTATTGCGTTATATTATACTATAGTACACTATAGTCTACTATACTATACTATAGCTCATTATACTATACTATACTCTATTCTACTACATTATACTAAACTTATTTTCCATTATATTATGTGACTCTTGCAGCTACAGGGCATCGTAGAGATTTGCTCGAGGGTCTGCCTTGCTCGCTGCAAGTTTCTCCTCGAGGTTCACCACTTTGGTATCCATCTGCCCTCAGCTGCGGCTCTACTTGCCGTAGGTTTCTTTTAGCCCTCTCGGGTAGGTTAGTGGTCTAGGGTTTAGGGTTTTTATGGGTTTTGGCGGTTGAGCCAAATTGAATCTGATAGGGTTCGGTACCCAAAAGGATGGAATAATATGACTTAGGGGACAAAAGTATCCCTAAGTACAGCACTACTTAATTGGTCTCGGACTGCCACGAACACCCCAACTGCCGTCCAGCTGCGATCAGCGTTGGATGCCCCAACTATGAAGCACCATAACTCTGACAAGTCGTCCCCTCAGCTTTTTGGGGGTTTCCAAGATTGGGGGTACCCTCGTTGAAGGGGTTATAGGGGATATTTAGGGGCTTCTAGAGATAGAGAGGGTCTAGGGCTTAGCGCTTCCCAAACGTAGGGGTACCTTTTTGGAGGGCCCCTACTAAGGATCATAGTATGTTGGGATCTATACTGGGGCCCCTATTTAGAAGACCACTATTTCAACTCCTGGCACAAGGTGCTTCGTGGGACTCTCTGGCATCGCTTCAAATCCAAAAGCAAACTGCTGCTCTTTTCAACCCTTGGTCTCCCTCCTGCCATGCCGCTGACAATACCCCAGCCACTTGTCTAACACACACTGCATGGTGGCAACCATTGAGTGAGTGCTCTCCTAAAAAGAGTGCCACAACAAACGAACGCGGAATGGTACATGGTCAGTCGGGTGGGGATGAACCCTACCAGCTATGAAAGAGAGATGATATACCTTTTTGGGGGGTCCCATAGCAAGGATGATAATATATTGGAGTCTATACTGGGGTTCTCTTACTACCATGCGGGATCTGCAAGTGCGTTCCTCCAGACTCACGGACAGCCAAGAAGCGGATGGACCAAAGGGTTGGCTGAGGGCAGAAGAGGATCGGCCCAACAATCCACACCTCATCAGGCTTTTTCACGAAAAATCCTTAAGTCTGCTATTTAGGTTTTTTGGTCTGGGGTCCACAAGGGATGTGCCACATAGCCAAACACCAACATTCTGACGCGGGCAGTTCCTGACGTAGACACTTGATTTGAAAAAAGCTCCCCCCATGTCTGGATGTGGCTTCCGAGGAACCAGTGCAGTTGCCAGCAGAATCATCATTGGCAGCGCTGCCACGTTGAAGGTTTCTGCAAGGAACCTGCGACAGCAGAAGTTTGGGAACTCAGTTCTAGGTCGGATTCCCCATGACTGCAGGCGATTTTGCCTGTAGACGGCGTACATGATCAGAATGCGCAGAGCGGGGTAGTAATGACTTTCCTCAGAGTGCTGCATTCCAGCTCTCGGCAATGAAGTGCACAGAACACAATTGTCAGCTCCCCTCGCACCCAAGCCAACTGGACAATTCAATGGCAGGAAGCTCTGTAGAAGAAATAGCAATCTCCTTAGGTGTCTGGAAGCCAACCCATCAAGCAAACAGGTTTGAGCCATGCTCTGCGCAGCAATGAGTGATGCAGGACGAGCTTCGCCAGCCATAGTGATCGTTTGCCATAGGTCTCCCTGTGGAGATGTAGTTAGCAAGACCGGTCTGCATTGTTGAGCCGACCGCTTCGGCGATGGACTTGTTCATGAAAGTGAACCTGGGGGTCTCAGGTCTTTCGACTAGAGCAAACCAGAATCTACACGTGGCTGCAAACAAGCTCTTACATATCCCAAGGCCCGCACACAAGCACAGCCCCTGGCACAGATGGCCTCAAACGCCGGCAAACGCTGGTGTCCAAAAACTAGGTCTTCGCACGCGCACAACTTGTGCCAGGTGGGTGCGGTTAATTTGCGGCCATGATTCAAAAAGCGGATGATGCCCTCCATGACCCCAAACTCTAGCGTAAGTTCCATCAGGCGAGGGAACCTCAATCTTTCCAGATTCCTATCCCCATGTCCAGCACCGCAAGCAGAGTCACTCTTGCTCCCAATGGCAATGCAAGGCATCTGCATGTTTGAAAGCACATGGCCATCTTTCTACCTTCTTTTGGAAAGGAGCATTGCGAGTGTGCCAAACGAAATCACCCATTCAGCAGCTAGCAAAGAATCCAGCTTGCCAACATCATCAAGACTTTTCGAGGACAGCGTGAGAAGCACAAAGATGACCACCTTTGCACAGTCAGGTGATGTTCACAATGCTTGCTTGGAACCAACTTTCTGCTGAGCGGCATAAGTCCTCATAGACAGGTCCGTCACGACGTTGTACAAGTAAAAGCCAACCGAGGCGAAATAGAACGAGAAGCTGTCGGCAATGTTCAAGCTTCCAGTCCTGGTACGGCAGCAGCCGGTCTTCATCCACAAGCCAAAAATCACCAGGCTCCGCACAAAAGCAATAAAGTTCAATAAAGGAGTCAAGCTGCAAAACCTTCAAATCCCTTGATCGCATGACGCCGACATTGCCGCTGGCAACTTTTGTAAAGAAAAGCGATGCGGAATTGAAGGAAACCTCTCTGCCCTTCTCCCATTCCAGGCAGTCGACATGCTTTGAAGTCTCTCCGCCTTGGCTGACCAAAATTTGGAGACAACAGAGAGGATGATATCCCTGAGGAGGACCCCCCACCAGCTAATAGTGGTAATAGGAATATAAGAAGACCCTAATATAACCACTATTATCGCTTATAGTCACTATTACAGCCTAAAAATCCCCAAACGAGGAAATCCAGCTCAGGTTCGCATAAGCACGTTGAAGCCTGCGAAGATGTCTTCTGACAGGTTCAGGATGGGAGAGGCTTTGGACACGGAGCCACGATTGGAGGCCCAGAAGGCATCGAAGAAGTCCGGATGCCTCGGACATGTCTGTTTAGGGGTTAGGGTTTATATGTGAGGCTGCCTTTAGTTGGTCTCTCATGGCTGTGTATTGTTGGTTTTTTGTGCTTCCTGTATTCTTGCTGAATTTCTTCTGTAGTTGTTTTGCGATTCATTGTGGTTTCCTGCTGTTGAAACGCCTGACCTTAAGTCTAGTCTAGTGTCCAACCACAGTTCCCAACACTGAACCCTAAACCCTCAACCCTAAACCCTAAACTCCTTTTGAGCAAGCCCTAAACTCTAGACCCTAAACCCCTCTCTCTCTCTCCCACGGCCTCGGATCGATCTTGCCGCGCACAGGCAACACCACAGCTTTTTACTGCAGTATCACCATTAAGACCCAGAACTGCTTAACAGGACCGGGCAACCAACATCTCCATCACTGGGCTCACAGAGCTTGCACCCTCAAGACCCACTGAGGAGCTACCTCTTCAAACAACAAGACCGGAAGTTGGGCAAAGACACGGCCCC